GCAGAGCAAATCTCTTTGATGGGCAGTACTGCTGCAAATGCTTTTGAAGTGGCAACTGCCCTGACTGAGTGAGCCTTCAACCCCTCAGGGGGAGGCTTGCCCTTAGCCTGATACGCAGCAAAAATAACTGACACAAGCCAGCGAGAAAGAGTCTGTTTGCAGCAGGAGCCCCAGCCCTCCTGCCACCATAACAGCAGAACAGATGGGTACCTGTACGGATCCCTTGTGTTCGTTTGATATAGACCTTGAGGGTCTTACGGACGTCCAAATGGGTGAGTGCTCGTTGCAGAGGTCCCCGATGTGGAAGGCTGGGTAAGAGTAGGACATCGATAGGAGCTGTCAGATGGAAAGCTTGATAGACCTTCAGACGGTAACTATCCAGGAGGCGAATACTGATGCGATATGGATGGTACACTGTCAGCGCCGGGTCTGCAGACTTGGCATGTAAATCACCGACCCTTCTCCCAAATGTCACCGCCACCAGAATGGCTAAATGGAAAAAAGCCGATACACGTGAAAAAGTAGGACCGGACAGCCAATCTAGCATGATTGACAAATCCCAAGGTGGGCTGGTACGCCTGAGAGCAGGTCGAACCCGATCCACGCCAGCTAGGAAGCGCTGCATAAGAGGGTGCTGCCCCAGAAGAGCACCATCCACAGGGCTGTGAAAGGAGTAAAGAGCGGTGCAGTAGCCACGAATGGTCGAAGCCGCCAAACCTTCTTCCAAACGAGACTGCAGAAACTTCAGAACTTGCCCTATCTGAACACCAGCACGCATAGCGGGACCACCTATCCTCATACTGAACGTTTGTCAAATCCAGCCTCAAAGCCAGAATTGTGTCTGCAACTGCTGCAGGAATTCCGCGTGCCTCGAGGCTAGACCTGATAGAGGTTAAGCAACCCACTGAATCCTTGGATTGGGGTGTGGCATACCGTTCTGAGTGAGAATGTCTGGTTGTAAAGGAAAAGAACAGGAGGCTGAGCCAGAAACCTGAGAATTACCGGAAACCAGCTCTGTCATGGCAAAAGTGGCGCCAGAAGCACAAGTGGCCAAGCTGCTGGGTGGACAGCTGGGAGAGGACCTGGGGAATGAGTGGTAGTGGCGGAAACACCCACAGCACCTTGCCCGTCCAATCCAGCAGGAAGGCATCGGAAGCCAACGCCCTCTGGTCCGGTATTCGAGAGCAGAACACGGGCATCTGATTCGTCCCGCCGGATGCAAACAGATTCACCTGGAACGATCCGTACAACTGGGAGATAACTCTGAATATCTGCCGGTCAAGCATCCACTCGTGCCGGGCCAGGATCCGGCGAGAGAGAGCATCTTCTTGCACGTTCTCCAGCCCTGTGAGATAAACACCCACGTCTCCCGAAGGACACCGTGCCGCCTTGCTTCAGGTTGTACGTCACAGCCCTACGGTTGTCCAACTGAAGACGAACCACCAGGCCCTGAACATGCTCCCAGAAGCGTTCGAAAACCAACCGCACAGCTCTCAGTTCTAAGACTTCGGACCAGTCCAGAACACACACACACCCAGCCCCTGAAGGACGCATCGGTTTGAACTGTAAGAGCTGGCATCGGGATTTCCAAAGGGATCCCCTTGGAGAGATTCTTGACCTGGATCCACCACTGAAGGTGAGGAGACAACCACCCAGGAACTGTGAGAGACTTCTGCAGATCCTCTTAGTGAGCCCAGAGACTTGCCAATGCTTGCTGTTTAGGGCGCATCCTCAACTGCGCCTGCCACATGACAGAGATAGTCACCACCATATGACCCAGCTGACAGCGCCCAGTCTGCGCTGGTGCCTGGGGCAGGAATAAAGACACCATCTTCCGTATTCTGTTGATCCGGTCGAGTAACAAAGATACAAGACCTTTGTGAGTTGTGAACCGCGCCCGAGAAAAAACAATTCCTGGCTGGGTACCAGGTCGAATTTCTTGAGGTTTATGACCCAACACAGTCGAACTAGAAACTGTGTGAGTAGAATCTAGGCTCACTGACTGTGTTAGAGCACACAGCAACCAGTCGTCTAGGTAAGGATGACAATGCCTTCCTTGCGACCGCGTGAGAGTCGCCGGCACTAACATGAGCTTGGTGAACACCCTGGGCGCAGTGGATATGCCGATGGGGAGCACCCTGAACTGATAAGACATCCCGTCGTACCTCGGAGCCAATGGCAGCGGATCAACAGAAGCCTCGAGGCCTATGGATCGAGCCGAGCCTGGAGATCCAACCCACAAACTCTCCCACCGGAGTCCTCCAACCGACTTGTGAACAAGGGACTTCACTGAGTCCACATGCTGTTGGAACAATTGCTGTATGAAAGACATATCAATTAGTACAGATTCATTAGAAGGCTTTTTAGCCTTTTTTGCTTTGGATGGGGGTGTCTCCTCAGTTGGGTCCCCTCCCGCCTCCATCAATTCTGTAGAAGAGGAAATCATCAGCCCTTCGTTTCTGGGCATGGGAGGAGAAATCAAGGCAAAGTTCGCACACATCGGGAGTATGCCCAGCCTTTCCAAGGCAACACAAGCACTTGTCATGCTTATCGGCAGGCGGTAAACGTTGCCCACAGGCAACACATGCCGTAAACGCCTGAAACATGTAGCTAATGGCCAAAACAACAGAAAAATACACCAATAAAACACTGAAAATATGTGAATGCGACAACGCGACAAGAAATAATTGTAGTAATAAAGCAATATTTCAAACCACATGACCGCGTAAACTTCCCGCCATGGGAATATTAACCGTACGTAAACCACGGGAAAGCTAGCATAAATCTATACAAAAGTCACATAAATGAGAAATAACCGACTGCAAAGTCAAAAGAGCGTTCTGAAGAACGAATAAAGACCAAACATACAGTAGCTGAAGTCCAAGACATTATTGTAGTATGCATCTAAGTTGGTCAGCACAAATCAAGCACGTATGTACACAATGTGTGACAGCAGAAGGAATGATGATACAGGCCTGGGTGCTTACCTGGTTGGGTGCACATGTGTAGCAGGGAGATAACTCCACTTGGTGGGGGTCGTACAATGATCAAAAAATGATTTTTAATCATTGTACATAATATTTTTATCAAAACATTGATACAACTGTCACATGACATTTTCAGCCGCAGAAAATGCTTATATATGTACCCCAAGGACGATCTCTATGAAAAAGAATTAAGGCTTTTTTCAAGGCTTTTCTGGGCAAAATTAAGGCAAATTTGACAAGCAATGATATAAGTAAACCTAAATAAAATAATAAGAAACAAGACTTCTGAGCACTGTTAGGTTTAATTTGAAATTCTGATTTCAGGTAGTGTCAACATTACAATCTGTTTTCCATATCAATCGAGGCATTGGCAGGAGTCACATGAAGTAACGGAGCATGTGCGACAGGCGACATTCGGAAACAGTGGAATTGCTGTATATTACAGTAGATAAGCCGAAATTTGAAGACAAAAAAAGAAAGGGGTTCGGGCTTATCTTGGCGGGTAACACTTTCGTCAAATTCTTTTTCTGGTGAACAGTAAGAAAACGACATCGCATTGTTTCGCGTGAATGAACAAGAGAAAACAACTTTTTCAGTGAAGACGTCAAATTTGCAATTAAACATTACTAGACAAGATTATTGACCTTTTCATTTCTAATTTCGTTTTGCTAGACACTGTATCATATGCAGAGATTAAGATCACTGTGTATATTTGTCTCGTGTACAGAGCCAGAAATAGCAAGCAAGTTAAAACATGCCAAATAATATAACAGGATGAATTCTGATGCAGTGATCTGTAAAATATAATATCTAAAACTATTATTTTACCAAAAGAAATATATCCTTGCATTGTGTAATTTTAATAACAGGTTTTGCTCTATATATGTAAAATATGTATAATCAACACTAAGGTTATACGGACCCCATGGTAAGTGGAAGTTGTATGCACATCGAATGATTTGAACAAGCATGCCAGTTTGTCGACATGTGATCATCCAGCAACAATAAATATGACATTTAGCAAAACAAAATATATATAGTAATATATATACAAGTATATGTATGCATTTTCTGTCAACTACACTTCATTTCTAGGCGTGAGTAGATGCAATATTATTGTGAATTCTGTGAATAATGTGGATCGAAGTTAAGGATTTTTACGGCAAAAATAGATTTTCCAGGCTTTTTAGTGTGGGACTAGTTTCATGAGGTTTAAAAACTTCATCATTTAGTAAACATAGACTATAATAACCATCAGATATAATTTGGTGGTCTTTATTTAAAAATAACCTTTTATTGTTGCTTTCTTTACATATACTGGATGGAAACCTCACCTTTCAAAAGCAAATGCAAAAGTTTGTTCGTACAAGGTGGGTTTTTTATATGATTGTACCGTTTTGTTAACATGTTTTTCAATCCAGATTGACAGTTAGTACCAACATCAGTGTGTTTTCTGATGAAAAAGCATATCAACCAAACGTGATATCTGGAGACGTTCGAAGTTGCAGTATCCCTTTACCATCTATTTCAAACTTAGAATAGTCACGGCTCATAGGAGTAACGAATTTTTTATCTTCCTTTAAGGTATCGTAATAATCATTAACAGTTGACTGCAAAAAGTTCATCACCTAGACTTGCTCCGTGAAAGTTTGTTTGTCAATACCCTCATTTATTTTGGACCTTTAAAAGGTTGATCTTACAGGGACTTGCCTCCATAAAATTGAAAACAAGCCATAATTAATGTTAAAAACAATGATTCTTAAATTGCTTCCTTTACATAGACTATTAAGAAAAGGTTATTCTCAAGGATGACCCTGACCGTTGACTTCACTGGTCAATGTATCCACAGAATCCAGGGCTATAAAGGAGATCTACATGGCTAGATATCCCTCTGATGTCAAAGGACTGTGTAATTTCAGAAGCTGGAAATTCAAACAAAACCTAAAAACATCTATATACATGATACTGGTTAATTACTTTAAAACAATAACATCAATAAAACTTTTGATTCACCTTTGTCTTCACGCCTTGATCAAAGTCTTTCATATTTCTGTCGATCATATGATCCTTCATGCCTGAAAACACCATGAAAACAGTATCCAGAATATCTTCTGCTGTTTTTGAACCTTCAGGTTTCTCTTGAGATAGACAGGCAATGACTTTTCCCACTGGTGGTAACAAAAAGCTCAATGGCCCGATCAGTGTCAGCACGAAGTTTGTCCTCAAAGCTTCCTTTCCAAAGACCTTTCACTGTATTCCAGATGCCTTTTTCTATTTTTGGATAAGTGAATCCATCATACTGATGCCATGTGCCTACAGTAAAATGAAACATCAAACATGAACAATATACTGCAGGGACTAAACATATTACTTAATTTGCAGGATATAGCAAGGTAGTATTAAACTGGCAGATATGAAATATTTTCAATGTGAATTCATGTACCACCTATAATTATGAAATAATTATCACCAAGATTCATTTAATTGAAAATGTGACATCTGAGCTTATGAAATTTTCCTGTTATGTTTGTTGTGCTAAAAAATACCGAAATAAAGAAAAGAAAAAAGTAGTTCTTTGGGTTTATTTTGCAATCCTCCGATAATCGATAGTGGATTTGTGAAAAATAGTAAATGCTGGAAGGTTATATTCCCTACAGTCACTGGGTGGATTATGAAAGGGTATCATGGAGCTGAATCGGATTCACAAATTACTTCTCTTTAATAATTTGGTGTCCGATTCCCAACACTACTTGTAGATTTACCCTGAGATTCATGTAACCTTTTCCTTACAAGAACAATAGTATTTTGATAATTACATGAAATAGATCTATAAAACCATTAACAATCTCTCAAATTATAATGACTGTGACCCTCATTTCCTATCTGTCATACTTCCAGTCATGAAATTTGTATTCCTGTTGGACGACATCACTTATGTCACTTTCAGTTAGGACTTATCTTCCAGATCTTTGTTCCTACTATGATGTCAGCTCCAGGTTTTTTTTTTTTTGTATAATTACCAGGTGAGAATGTCACTTCTGGTCACTTTTTGATTGTTGAATGATATTAATTACGCATGCACAAGAGGCTACGAGATTGTATCTGCTGGAAGTTGTCGGGGAAATAAACATGGCTAGAAGGAAGCATGTGTGCTGTCAGCTGTCGTAATGTTATGGGGGTAAAAGGGCATGAACAAATGGTAGCAGAGCGTGGTTCGTTGACAAGTGATGTTTTCCACATGTGGAAGTAATTCTATTGGCAAAGGTCGTGAGTAAACTATCTGTGAAAGACTTTGAAATATTTTCTGAGCATGTGGTTCGGACTCGTTACTCCCCAGTTTGATCAATATTCGTGTGTGAAACCGTCAACATGTCAGTGAGAATTAACCCTCCTCAGTACAGGCCTGCTAAAAGTTATGAAAGTTATAGACAGGAACTGGTGGTCTGGAATGAAAATTCCTGCTAAACAGGGGGGCACATCAGTTGCATAATTTTTACCGGAAGACGCCCCCGCATCAATTAGAGAGAAAGCATTTGACCTAATTGACTTGGAAACATTAAGATCAAACACAGGATTAGATGCATTAATTGACAAATATCTTGGTAAAGATGAACTTGCAGATTCTTATAAAAATTTGAAGACTGTCAAATAGAGAAAGAAATGACCATGACTGAATATATTTCTGCCTTTGACCACTGCTACAATAAAATCAAGAAAAAGGGTATAACTCTCCCATCTGAAGTCTTAGCATTTAAACTGTTACGGAGAGCAATGTTAACAAAAGAAGAAAAACTGTTAGTTTTGACAGGTATGGACTTCACTAAGAAAGACACCCTTTTTGAACAAGCAACTGCTTCTTTGAAAAAGTTCTTAAGAAAGGGGTATGATAGCCAAACCCGAGAGAAGTGAAGCATCAAAACCCATAAAAGTAGAGCCAACATTTTCAGTTGATGAAGTCTACACAGCATATGGAGGTAGAAGACCAAATTATTTTAATTCTGGAAGAGGAAGGAGTGGTCGTCAAGGGTTTAGGAACAGTCGTGGATATAATCTTGGTGGCAATGATGCGAGCTTTACAGGAAGGGGAAAGGATCAAAGGGACATGAATCCGACAGGAAGAGATGGTCATACACTTAAGTGTTTGGCGTGCGGTTCCTATCGACATTTAGTTCGTGACTGTCAACATAACTTTGAAAAGACAGAAATGTTGGTAGAAGAGGTAGAGGATGTTGAACTTGAAAACATTGTGTTGTATACATGGGAAGAGCAGGTAAAGCAATGGACACCGCCTAGATCATGATACATGTGAATGGAGAAAAGTTGAAGAGTGTAACGCAGTTATGATTCCCAAACCTAAACATGATTAAGAAGAATGTCAACAAGCAAAGACAGAAGAATTGGAAAAACTCTTGGCATTTAAAACTTACATAGAGGTAAAAGACACTGGACAGAAACGAATATCTACACGATGGGTCATCAGTGATCAAGGAAATGGCAAGATTAAAGCTCGTCTTGTGGCTAGGAGTTTCGAGGAAGAAGGGTAAAGGCTGGTCAGTCAAGACAACATACATCAAATCTGCTTTCCTTCAGGGCAAGAAGCTGGACAGAGATGTGTATCTACAGCCACATGTAGAAGCAGATGTGACAGAAGGGAACATATGGAAGCTTGAACACTGTATGGCCTGGGTGAATCAGCTCGACATTTTACTTAAGTGTGGTAGAAGAGTTGACAAAACTAGGGTGTGTGCAATCACAGTATGACCCAGCCTTATTCTACATGAAAGAGAAAGGTGACTTGTAAGGGATAATTATTTCACATGTTGATGACTTCTTACATGCTGGTTGTCCATTGTTTGAAGAAAACGTTATGGGAAGACTGAGGCAAAGATTCATAGCTGGAAAAGTGGAAGGAAATGCTTCAGATATATAGGTTTTCACATTAAGCAATACAATCAAGGAATTATAGTATCCCAAGAAGACTATGTGTCTGATATCGACAGTGAAACCATTGCATCTGCCAGGGTCCTAAAGAAAAATGAAGTTCCAACACCAATGGAACAAACTAAATTCCGAGGAATGGTGGATAGAATCAATTTAGCTGTTCAAGGTTCGAGACCAGATGCAGTGTTTGAAATGATAGACTTAAGTACAAAGTTGAATAAAGCAACAATTGCTGACTATGTCCGAGCAAGCAAAGTCATCTAGAAGTTACAAGATAGTTCATCCACACTATGCTTTCCAAATCTTGGTCCCAGTAAACACTGGAGAATGGCTGCATTCTCAGACCCTTCCTTAGGAAATTTGAGTGATGGTGTAAGTAGTGTTGGGGCACACTTGTTTTTTCTTGTGAGTCAAAGCAATCATTGCTGCCCTATATCATGGCAAGCTAAGAAAATAAAGAGAGTGGTGCGATCTATGATTGCTGCTGAAACTATGGCGCTGTTGGAGTCTGTCGAAGATTGTATTTTCTTGAGAGCAGTTATTCATGCCAGGATGGACAGAAAAAGACCAGACCATTCCTATAGATATCATCACAGATAACAGAAGAGTAGTGGAAGCCCTGCAGTCAACAAAGTTGGTAGATGACAGAAGGTTGCGGATGTGGCAGCGATCAAACAAGAACTTGTAAATGGAGATGTGGAGGTGTCCTGGTAGAGAAGCAGCTCGCCGATGTGTTGACTAAACGGGGGCTGTCAGGAGTGAAGTTGTGCCAGATTCTTCGGAGTGGAAAGCTGTGTCTGTGATGTGTAGTGTATCATGTGATTTGTGTATGGGGCAAAATAATCCCCTAGAAGCATGAAGGTAGTTTTCCTTGTGAGTGCTTCTATCTAGTGAAACAATCTTAGCTTAATCAAGGGTAAAGCAGATGAAGAATCCTGAAGTTGAACTTTTAACTATAAGATAAAGAAATGACATTGTTACATTTTTACAAGATGAAAAAAAAAGAAGACAATTTTAATGAATGTTGATATTAATTACGCATGCGCGAGAGCCTGCAAGAGGCTACGAGATTGTATCTGCCGGAAGTTGTCGGGAAATAAACATGGTTAGAAGGAAGCATGTGTGCTGTCGGCTGTCGTAATGTTATGGGGGTAAAAGTGCATGAACAGAAAAAAGTAGTTCTTTGGGTTTATTTTGCAAACTGCACAAAAAGCATTTACAAATTTCACATCTTTAAAGGATGACTAGAATGTCAGGAACATAAATTTCCTGGAGTCTTTAAGATAAATTCAGTCATGCAGGGGTTCAAAAATCCCATCGCCCGACGTCCAGGACAAGTCAGTTTTCATTTCGGGCAATCAAATAATCGTATCTTACTTGTCCGTGGGCTACAAGATAATTTCCACTTGTGGTTTCAAACCGCAAATAAACTTGGATTTAATTTCATATCTGCTCAAAATGTAGCTATTACATTTCGCAATGATAATAAAGTAGAGTTATCTTTCTTTGCTATTTATCACTTTTCAATAAATAGTCCAGTAAACATTAACGTCAAATACCATGTTGATTTCTTCTTTTACATTATCATAATTATGTCATAAAATCAGGGCAAGTGGAAAATTAGTCAGGACAAGTTACTTTCTTAAAGTCACTTGCCCTGTGGCAAGTGGATTTTAAAAAATGTTTTTGAACCCCTGGTCATGGCTTGTAATAAGCTAATAGTACTTATGAAATGTAAATTTAATGACACAGACAAACCAACCTTGTGAACAAAATATTATTAATGCAAACATGTGTTTCAACATTGTGTGTGTTTAATTATGAAAAAACATGATTGATTGCTTGGTCGTTTAGTCACTGTGACCAGTATTTGACTATTTCAATTAATTGGACCTTGACTAGAGTAAACTGTAGTGCCTTTGTGCACAGACCTGAGAACTTCTTACCTTCATAAGATTTCCATGATGTTGGAATACAGAATGCACGATTAATATTTGGATGGTCTTTGTAGAATCTTTTCCTGTAGTAAGGTTCTTCCCATGTGAATGTGTCTGGACCACGCTGTATCATGTACTTGTATCTAAAATGACTTCTTAACAGATCCTTAGAGACTGGGACATGGCAGGCATATTCAAATTCTCCCTCAGATATTTTCCTGAAATTAAGTCAGACAACAAGTACATATTTGGGTCACAATTCACTTGTTGGATGTTGGGTTCTTGCCACTAACCACATTAAGGGATGTTGTTAGCCTAGTAAAATTTCATAAAGTCGCTTTTTTAAATGTTATACAGGCCGCCAATTGTAGGATATTTTTTTTGGTCTGTCCATGGTGGTCCAATAATTCAGACACTTTGTTATTAATCTAAGGTTCTAACGTCTGATTTAAACATAATGATACTAAATTCTAAGATTTGTGTACACAATGTCTACACTTGCTAAATAAATATTCACTACCCCTTGACCTTAACTTTCATGTGTAATGTCAAAGCTCACCCATGCTGCCTGTTTCTCCTATTGCTGGTTGCTACATCTGAACAATGTAAAGACACATCTTATATTTCACTTTCCCTGTTAGGTTTATTTTATGTTTATTGCTACATACCCAGAAAGTGTGTATATATATATATATTCTTCAAAAAAAAGAAACTTCACATAGCAACTATTTGAATCTTACAAAAATATTTGACACAAACCAATTCATGCTGAATCCCAACATGTGGGGGAATGGTTGCTGACAACAAAATGTTTGAAAAAAGACACGAACAAAAACGTAACGTTACACTCACGTCTGTAGTGAAAAGTTAAAACGCACCCAACAATGAAATGCACGTGCATCATGGGATTGTGAATCATCCTGAGCTGAAGTCTATGACTGTAGGCTTTAAAAAGCCACATCAATGGTACACCGTGTGCATTGCTTTAAGACACTATGGACGACAAGAGAATGAACAGATTGACAGAAGCTCAATGACACAGTGCCATCGGCCGTTTACTTGGCCGGGCATCGCAGCACATCGGGCACTTCAGCATGTCCGGACAGACCATCTCAATCCAATGGACCTAATACACTTGGGAGTGTTAATGACAGACCCCGGTCAGGTCGACCTAGTGTTACAACCGCCCCCCAGGATTGCTAAATCCGGTTGAGACATCTTCGTTCAAACACCACGGCCACATCATCCACAACAATCCAAATCCCTGGACTGCGTCGAATCTCCGACGCAATTGGCTATGGGAAGCCAGACTTTTTGCCAGAAGACCAGTTCAACATCACATCGTTCCCTTCATCAACGTCAACGGTTGATCTTTGTGGCATGACAATGCTCGACCTCACGTTGCACGTGTTTGACAAAACTTCCTCCAGCAAAACAATGTTCAGATGTTACCTTAGCCTTCTCGATCACCGGATTTGTCCCCCATTGAACATCTTTGGGACACTCTTGATCGACGCTTGTGACAGCATAATCCGCCACTTAAGACACTACAAGAACTGCACACAGCACTTCAGCAAGAGTATCAAAACATTCCTCAACACAGCATTCCGGCATTTCCTTTCATCTATGAATCACCGATGCCAAGCTGTTATCGATGCTCATGGTGGTCACACCTGATACTGATATTTTACTCTGACCAAGTGGCTTTAATAGCACTCTGTGGTTTTACCAAACACTTTCTGGATCATCATGGTTTGGAAATTTGTAAAGTGATGAATTTACTGTAATTGAGCAATGATGTCATGTTTGAATCAGTTATATGCACTTAGTAAGTAAACTCCAAATCAGCAAGTCAAGTTTCTTTTTTTTGAAGAGTATATATATAATAATACCAAGATATCAGTTGTTATTATATATAGTTGACGTTAGGAAAACAGGCAGGTTCTGGCTCAGACACATTCCCAGTGTACTTGACAGAAGTAATAGTTTCTTGTAGATAGGATGTTCCGATGATCATAAATAATCGAAAATCGATGAAAAGAAGGATTAAAATGATTATCGATTGTAAAAAACATATTTTCGATTAATCAGAATTTTGTTGTTTTTGTATAACCCCCTTGAATTAAGTAAACTAAACATCAAATTTGACGAATATTCATGAACAAACATGCGCTCAACAGCATAAAGCTTTGCACATTGTAAATTTTAATCTCTTTTATTGTTTAATTACAATTCCAGTGTCTTTCTTGCATGCATGCATTTAATTGCATGACGGTATTAGTTATATAAAAATAATTAAAAAAAAAAAAAATGGGGAAAAACCCTTAAAATTTGTGATTACATTAAACATGTATATATTTCGATTATAATTGATAATCGTTCACCACAATCCTCCAATAATCGACAGTGGATTTGGTGTCCGATTCCCAACACTACTTGTAGATTTACCCTGAGATTCATGTAACCTTTTCCTTACAAGAACAATAGTATTTTGATAATTACATGCAGTAGATCTATAAAACCATTAATAATCTCTCAAATTATAATGACTATGACCCTCATTTCCTATCTGTCATACTTCCAGTCATGAAATTTGTTTTCCTGTTGGACGACATTACTTATGTCGCTTTCAGTTATGACTTTTCCTCCAGATCTTCCTTCCTACTATGATGTCAGCTCCAGGTTTTCTTTGTATAATTACCAGGTGAGAATGTCACTTCTGGTCACTCTTTGATTGCGAGGATATTACAGAGCTTTTGGGTATGATGTCACTTCTGATTCTGATGTCACTTCCAGTCACTTACAGACCATGATGTCAATTGATCATGACATTACTTTCAGCCTACTCATTGTGGTTTTCTTTCCTGTAATCTGCATAGGTAACCTGTTTTAGGGTCAGAGTAATCAATGGTCTACTTATCTCCTTCACCCAACTGTTTCCCATAGGAGAAGAAGAAAAAAACTATTGATGAATAATGTATTCAGCATGACTAGAGGATCTACAGAGTGTACCCCTTCCTGGCTTGGCTGTTCATCGTGTACTTAGAAGTTGAGTAATGCGTTGTGCAAGCCCCATTCACAACTTGTTACAAGTTGCTCCATAGACACTGTGTTTCAGGATGCAATGTGTGACGCCAAAGCTCTGATTGATTGGCCAAAGTAAACAACAAGCATGGGTTGTGAGTCATGAGCATGTTGCCTTCTGCTATGGTAGACTTGAACCAACATGCTTGTCTGATAATGTCTGAGGCTTGGGCTTGGGATTCTCAGATAAACTTCTGTTGGGTTGGTTTCCGATTTCGTCAGGAGTATAAAGAACCCACAATATGTCATGAGTTGGACCAAGAAGATCCTGTTTTGTTGTAATGGTGATCTGTCTTCATCTTGTAAAGAAAAAAAGCCATCAGGATAACAGTGTAGATGAATTAGCTGATGGTCTGTAATATGACTTTGGTAACAGCCAAGGCACATTCATTATCCCAAACAGAAGTTCTTGCAACTTGTATTTTCTACTAGTGACAGATGCGTAGATGAAGATGAAGGATATATGGGAACATGAAACAATGTATTCTGCTGACCAAAGGAGATGATGAGCCAATCTACCATTGTGAGTCTTGTACAAAACTTCCATATCGGTTTAATCAGGAATTTAAGTAATGATACTAGATGACTTGTTGAGGATCTTGAGGTCTATAATCATCATCCATTAAAAGTGGACTTCTTCTCGGAAACAAGATATACCTGACAGTTAAAGCCCTTTGTGATGTCTGAGCCTTGAGATGCTTCAGGACCTTCTTTTCTAGTTCAATTGGCCAGATTTGTTGCTGAGGTTTCAGTCCCTTCCACATTGAATCTTTGACCTTGTGGCTGAGACATGAGAAAAGGATAATGGTGGAAGTACAGCTTGTATCCTACATCCTGACATCCACTGATGTTCTGCTTTCAGTTCTGGGCACATGACAAAAAAGTACTCCTCATGGACCCAGAGTTATGTTGAAACTCGGTACTCTTAAGTCGAATGTAAAGCCAGGTCTATATGATTGAAAGTAGGAGAAGTTGCCAAATCAGAATCTCCAGTTGGTGCAACCTCTTTGTTTATGCTACCTCTGCTCTGTACACAATGCTGACTCTTATCCTTGTGACAAAATGATTGAAAAGTATCCTTTCCTGTGGGAATATACATTATCTCAGCAGTTCCTTGGGATCACTGTCTTTTGTAGATTGTCTATGTTGCATAGATAGTAGAGAATAACAGTGGGCCTAAGCCACTAGGTAGATAGCAGATACTTGGGAATTGCTGTGTTGTATCCTGATGCACCTCTTCTGTTATCTTGATTGTTTGTGCTGTAACTAGTGTTGGGAATCGGAAACCAAATCCACTATCAATTATCGGAGGATTGTGGTGAACGATTATCGATTATAATCGAAATATATACATTTATAATGAAATCACCAGTTTGAAAGGTTTTTCCCCAGGTTTTTTCTAATAAATGTTTCTTATACTGTCATGCAATGAAATGCATGCATGCAAGACAGACACTGGAATTGTAATTAAACAATAAAAGTAGTTACAATGTTACAATGTGCATATCTTTACGCTGTTGAGCGCATGTTTGTTCATGGATATTTGTCAAATTTAATCGCTAGTTTACTTCATTCAAGTGTGTTAAACTAAAACAAAAAAAATTCAATTAATTGCAAATATGTTTTTTAACAATCGATAATCATTTTTAATCCTTCTTTCAAATGATTTTCGATTATTTTCAATCATCGGGAACTCAACTAGCTGTAACGGGTAATGTCTGATGTCTCAGAGTCCAGAGTGACATTCATATCTGCATGGTTAGTTGATCACTTTGCAAATCTATGAGAGATTATGAGTAGGCAAGATGACCTGATCTGTCGTGAAGGAGCATGGAATTCAGCAGTATCTTGAACTATCTTCTCTGTAGGAATCCAAAAATTGACATATGACTTGACAAATACTGACTACAAACTATTTACTTTTTGTCACAATATCTATGAAGTGCTTGTTGATGGATGGTGAACGAACCAGCTTCAGAAATTTCTCATTCAGAATTTTAGATTATGGTAATGGGCAACTGTGCATCTGGTAAATCATTTTCCTTAGTTGCAGTAAAGGGCGGCGATCATGCTGCCTATCTTAAGTCAGTTGTCACACACCTCGACAATAATCCTGTGACCATAATAATTTCAGAGTGTTCTGAGAGAGGCGACAGTAAAGACAACCTCTGTTGAAATTTCTGAAGATTAGTTTTGTGTGATTGAAACCACAATACAGGAGTCACTGATGTATAAGAAGCAGATGATTCTTTAGAATTATGTTTGCTTTGAAAGCCAGTTGTGGAGTGTATCCAGGTCTTTCCCTTAGATATTTAAATACTTTCTACAAATATAATTAATTTTTCTTTCTTTGAATTGACATAAAAATATCAAGGAAAATTTATATTCACTAGAAAATTGCAATCATGTTTTTTATTCATTTCATTTGCATTTGTCAACAGCACAAATTAAACCAAGCACATAAAGTAAGCAACCACCTCTAACAGGGCACTGCTTCATTACAGAGTAAAAGGTTGTTACCTTACAAGATCCATTTTCCACTTGTCTGAATTCCAACCTCCAAGAGAGTTTGGTCCAAATCTTATGTACACTGCTTCAGTATTTGGCTCTAGCTTCATTTGTTCTGATATTATCACATGGAAGACAACTTCCACATTATTGTCTCTTTCTGCAGTAGTTGTTTGTCTGAAAAGAGATAAACACCATAACATACAAGACAAAAAATAACAATAGACTGTTAATAATTGTTGGAAAATTCTCCAAGTAAGCTGGAAACTTACAGTTAATCACATTGGGACCAATTTCCTTACTTTTTGGGGTGCCATATCTGTTCTAATGATTTTTCTTTACTATGCCTCAAACAAATCCAAAGATAGTGTCATAATATCACGCTCTTTGATTGTAAAAGTGTTCGATGCATAGCTAAAACTACATTTTTAATCTTCAGTAAGCATATATTTCATGTGTCTTATGAATAAAATTATCTTTTCTGAGCATAAATTTCATGTGTTTGGTGGATATCTTCAGTAAGCTTAAATTCCCTGAGTCTTGATGGACTGGTTGCAAAGATGACCTCTTCATACCTTGTTGAAAAAGGTTAAAATGTGTCATTGCTCATGCTCTATGTGCCTAGTTTTAAATATCATGTATCAACATATATTTATATACATATATTTATTCTTTCTAACACATGGCATTTCCTGCTAACTTCTTCTTGATGCTGAAGGGAAACAAAATTTAAAACTTCTACCCTTCATGTTCCTGGTCTCATAACACTTCACCAAAACATCACCCAAACACAATCAAACCCTTTACAAGTGTGCAGCACACTCTGACTCTTATGTTGACTGATTACTCAACAGAGCAGAGGGTAGTGAATGGAATGGCTTGGGACATCATCTACTTTTAAATGACTGCACAGTGAGGTGACTCTGAGTTGAAGATATAGATGCAGTTCACAGACAAATGCGCTGCTCATCTTTACATGAATTTCTGCATGTAAAGTAAAGAAAAAAACTCCAAAGAAAACAAACTCAACACAATGTATTCACTTTGTACACTGAACAAAGAACCAATGTCATCAACTTGTTCCCAAGTAGTATGCCTGGGTGGGTGTCTGCACTGACAGGCTGTGGTCAGTTGCTGGTCCGAAAACCAAGCAGTTGCACAGTTTCAGACCTTGGACGTCTGTGACAGACTACATCCTTCTTCTGTATTTTAAGATCCAGCAGATGAGAATCCTAACGATGCATCTACACGTCAACAAACATGTGGTGAGTTATATGTATAGTTTTATTGAGACTGGCACATATGTTAGATTCCTGGAGCCAACACTGCCGATAATAATATGTTGTTGTTTAGATAAATTAGTCCTAACTGTCATCAAATCTAAAATCAAGCACTTGACCTAAAAAAACCTTTGTGGCAGGGTGCATCTTGCCTTTGTTGACAGAAACCCAGAAAGTCTCTGCAACTTCCACAAGCGGGTTAGACGGCCGACTTTGTGTCCTGGTGATTAGGTGCCTGACTCTGAGGGTGTAGGTTTCGAAACTTGCATGGGACATAACTCAACAAAAGTACCAGAATCTGTTCCTAACTATGAAAGTGTAACCCAAATATAACATATGTTACCTACATACTGTAAGTTGTAAAGGGCACCAGCTATACATTGTAGTTAAAAGTCACTCCATATAGTCAGGGATGAGTATGAAGTTTGAGAAAAACTCTGAAATTAGCAGAAGCACCTGATATTTAGGCATTTTAGACCCTAAACCTGGCTCAGAAATATATCATGAACACAGCAACCATTAAAAAACTTTAAATCGGCTGAAGCACATTCATACAATTGTCAACGGATTTAGACGATTCACAAAAATGACCCTTGGCCTTTTGAAATTCCCGGAATTCCGCAGATCCACAGAAAATTCTCATCCCTGTATATTGCATGCCACACCAGGGGTGTAAATTAGTATATAGTTTCAACAAGATACGCATTGAACAGGTATGGTCATTTTCACTAAAATACTCATGCTAATTTATATTTTTTGAAATTTTAACAAAAAATTGTATATTTATATACTTATCCTATCTCATGGTATGCACCTCTCTTTTTCTTCTACGACCATGTGTGGAAACGTGCTGTAGGCTAAGTTTAATCAAAACTAAGCCTCTAACCACCTGACCTCTGCCCCCACACTGATAGCAGCACCTGTCAATCATCTCATTAAGCGCGCAGATCGCTCAGATGATCACATGACGCTCTGTGCCTGTCATTCTCGTCTTGGAGCTTCCAGTAATCTGTGCTGTGGGGCAGGTCGGGTGGGTATCCATCCAGTGAGATAGGATAAGTATATACAAGTAAATATACAATTTATAGTAAAATTTCCAATTTTTTTAACATACCCTATCTCACGGTATGCATTATCTCACGGTTGGCTGGTGGGCCACAGATTACCCTGTCAACTCTACAACCATGAGGTCGTATAACACAAGGAGGTCAGGAGAAAGCACTAATTCCTGATATGCTAATTCTGAACTTGTGATGGGTTGCTTCAGATAACCCCTTAGCTTACACAGCACAAAAACTCTAGGGAGTGGGCGGTTCAGAATTAATGTGGTTTTCAGCCGCAACATATGCCAAGCAAAAGGACGCAGTTTGGCAAGTGGACACTGCCTCCCCGCGATTTATCAAGTGACCCCAGTGAATTAAAGTCGAAGACCTTAATCTGGACAGTCCCTGCTTCGAAACTACCCCCCACAGACACATGCTAGAGGGCAATGAAAGAGGGAAAAGCCTGGTTGCTCAGCTGGTTTAACGTTCAGTACCAATCCTCCTAACTTACCAAAGGAAGAAAGGACCTAGGAGGGGAATGCTTAGAAAACCACACAGGTAATCGGAAATAAACACTTCACTGATGTAATTGCTCAGAGAGTAGAGGTCAGTAAGTGGAGTGTCGACCACCTCTGCATGTAGCACAAGATTGACCTCTCAGTCTATTGAGTCATGGCTATGACAGTGCAGACACGCCCTACTTCAATAGGTGAGGTGGTCTAAGCCCAAGATAAAAAAGGTAAAAAGATAAAGATGACATCGAGATCTTTTATTAATGTACAGAAAGCAAAACCGACAGGCGGAAGGACTTCTTTTCATCTGCGAGCACGGGTCGATGACAGCTGCTGAGCTAGGGGACCAGAGGACCGAACTGGTGTAGGCCCTCCACGTCCGTGACGCAGAGATCCCGAAGATAGTGTGAGGAGAAAACGGTATCCGACTTCCAAAAACATCCCTCCATGATTGCCAGGTGGGAACAGTTCCTATGAAGCGCCATGGTGGAAGCTAGGGCCCGAGTTTCACGAGGATTCGCTGTCGAAGGTGGAGGGAGGTCGGCATAGGCATAGGCACGCAGGATAGTGGATCTCAACTAAAACGCCAAAGTGGTGAGCGAGACTTCTGAGGTGGAGGTAGCTAAGTAGATCCGCAATGCCCGAACTGGTCACAGGGAAAGATCTTCTGTGTCATCAGGACCCAAGATAGTAGACAGCGGTGGAATCGTGAATGTGCGGTCCGGCTGTCCTGGTAGTAAGTTCTTGGCGATGAAATCCCACCGCAAACCAAGAAAGACTTTAGCAAGTCTTGACCTCTCAAACCGCACCCGGGAGACGTCGAGGGCGTGTTACTCTGAAATGCGGGCAGCAGTGGCCAAAGCCAAGAGTAGAAGGTCTAAAACGTGATCTGCTCAAAGTCTTTTCCCTCTAAGGGTTCGTAAGCCGCTGACGTAAGATGATTAAGCACAACGGAAAGGTCCCAAGATGGTGGTCGGAACTTCCGAGATTGCTCAGCAAGTCCATAAAATCTGAGGGGAGACTGGAGCTCAGGAACTGTCGACACCTTCACACCTGTGGTTGGTGCAATAACGGTGTTAAGAGCAGCCAGGTAGGTAGACAATGTAGAACCCTTAAGCTTCCTGGAGGTTCGAAGATGTTGGAGGTACTCTGCGAAACAGTAGTGGGAGAAGCTATACCTCTGGCCAAGCAGTACGCTTCAAAGTTCTTCCATTTGTCATCATAGAGTGACCTAGTAGAGGAGCGATGCGCTGTAGTGATGGCAGTAGTGACACACTTAGAATATCCCTTTGCAGTTAGCGACTTCTGGAGATGCGAGAAAAAGGAAAGATGGAGTGTGAGCTGAGACCAATGCAGCTGATCAGAGTGAACCAGACGTTCAACTCTTCCATCCACCAGAGGAGATGGGGATGGAGCGTCGGGAGGTAACGTGATCAGGGAAAGCAAGTTGCCCACCCTGATGTGTGGAGCAAGGAATAACTGCAACGGTCGAAGCTGAAGCTGACCCCTGAGGGTCAAGGCCTGGGCCTACGTCAAGAGACCCAGGAGCTCCTGCCATTGATGAAGAGTCCTGGGTTGAGACAATGCAAGGGGAACTAACCGCCATATCTTGTAGAAACGGTCCCTCGGCACAAACAGTCTGTTGAGCTCTGTGTCGAACACCGCCCCAATAAACTGCAGGCGGCATGAAGGGACTAGCTCTGACTTCTCCATGTTGACAACCCAGCCTAACTGGTGAAGTAGCGGCATTGTGAACACTATGTGACGTAGGAAGAGTGCATGGTTGGTCTGAGCCTGGATACAGTAGTCGATGTAAGTTTCGAAGAGTATCCCTTTGTGATGGAGGAAGCTGGTGATGGGTTTCGTCACCCATGTAAATAGCCATGGAGCCGAAGAAATTCCAAATGGGAGCACCTGCCACTGATAGTGGGTGCCCTTGAAGACGAAACGAAGAAAACTTGCGATGGTCCAAGAAGATCGGAGTATGAAGGTACACATCCTCAAGGTCTAGGCTGACCATGTAATCACCCTGTTTGATGATAGTCTTGAGTAGAGCCACCGACACCATACTGAAATGAGGCAGTGGTTGTAGGAACATCTCGTTGAAGACCTTCATGTTGAACATGAGTCTCAATTTGTCGAAATCCTTCTTTGGAAGCAAAAAGATTGGAGAGTAAAACCCTGGGTCAGCTGTAGTCGAGCCCAGGGATTCTATCGAAAGTTTCTGAAGAAGCGTAGTTATTTTGGATCGCAGCACAGTCAGTTGATGAGTGGGATACGTCCTGTGCTCCGGAAATAATGTGAGAGGAGGGTTGCCAATGACCGGAAGTTGAAACCCCTTG